CCAAGGTCACCCAGGCACCAAGGTCACCCAGGCACCAAGGTCACCCAGGCTCCAAAGGTCACCCAGCTCAAAGGTCACCCAGGCCCTGAAGGTCACCCAGGTCCTGGAGGTCACCCAGCTCCAAAGGTCACTCAGCCGCCAAGGTCACCCAGCTCCAAAGGTCACTCAGGCTCCAAAGGTCACCCAGGCCCAAAGGTCACCCAGCTCCAAAGGTCACTCAGCCGCCAAGGTCACCCAGTCTCCAAAGGTCACTCAGCCCCCAAGGTCACCCAGGCCCAAAGGTCACTCAGCCCCCAAGGTCACCCAGGCTCCAAAGGTCACTCAAGCCCAAAGGTCACCCAGGCTCCAAAGGTCACTCAGGCCCAAAGGTCACCCAGGCTCCAAAGGTCACTCAGGCCCAAAGGTCACCCAGGCTCCGAAGGTCACTCAGCCCCCAAGGTCACCCAGGCTCCAAAGGTCACCCAGGCTCCAAAGGTCACCCAGCCCCCAAGGTCACACAGGCCCCGAGGTGACCCAGGCTCAAAGGTCACCCAGACACCAAGGTCACCCAGGCTCAAAGGTCACCCAGGCTCTGAAGGTCACTCAGCCCTCAAGGTCACTCTTGCCACGGAGACCCCTACACCGGTCTCTTTGAGCCCTCGCCCGCCGGTAACAAAAAAAAACGATGGGAAAAGCTCTTGCCGCTGGACGGTTCGAGCCATTCTCATCGACCTCCGACCCCGCGCCACGAAAAACGGATGCGACCGATCGCCTGCTGAGTCAACACGTCACGGTGGCTAGAGATGTTGACTACCTCGCCTGGTATACAGGAGGTCGTGGGTTCGATCCCAACACTGACGCCTGCTGTATATTTGGAGTTTGTGTGTCTCTCTCTCTCTCATCATCACGGTGGCTAGGAGATGTTAACAACCTCGCCTGGTATGCAGGAGGTCGTGGGTTCGATCCCAACCCTGACGATGCCTGCTGTATATTTGGAGTTTGCGTGTATCTCTCTCTCATCATCATCACGGTGGCTAGGAGATGTTAACAACCTCGCCTGGTATGCAGGAGGTCGTGGGTTCGATCCCAACCCTGACGATGCCTGCTGTATATTTGGAGTTTGCGTGTATCTCTCTCTCATCATCATCACGGTGGCTAGGAGATGTTAACTACCTCGCCTGGTACACAGGAGGCCGTGGGTTCGATCCCGACCCTGACCATGCCTGCTGTTTATTTGGAGTTTGTGTGTCTCTCTCTCTCATCATAATCATCACGGTGGCTAGGAGATGTTAACAACCTCGCCCGCTACGCAGGAGGTCGTGGGTTTGATCCCGACCCTAGACTCCTGCTGTATATTTGGAGTTTGTGCGTCTCTCTCTCTCATCATAATCATCACGGTGGCTAGGAGATGTTGACTACCTCGCCTGATGTACAGGAGGTCGTGGGTTCGATCCCAACCCTGACGATGCCTGCTGCTGTATATTTAGAGTTTGCTTGTCTCTCTCTCCCCCCGGTTTTTTCCCCTCCACACATTTCGAATCGACGTCACGCGCTTACGAGTCTCTGTCTGCTGTGAACTTCCACGCGACGACGACGAAAAGCCGCCGCTTCGCCGAGCCATCATCGGCGACAGCCTGTGTCGCTTCTGTCAAAAAGAGCTACGTAGAAACGGCTCAATGTGGGGGGGGGGGGCCCTCAACCTGGTCAAATAACAAAAAAATTACGCGCAGACCCGTCAGTTACATTGTGCGGAACAACTCAGCCGCGCAACGTCTCCGGGCGGTAGCGCCGGCACCGGCGGTGGATTTGACGGCGCCGGGGGGGGCTGTGAGCGATGTCGCCCGCCCGACGCAAGGCGCTAACGCCATCGATCGCACGGGCGCCGGGGAGCGCCGGGGAACGGCGGAGCCTCCCGAGCCGGCCGGCCGGTCAGCCGGCGAGAGCGTCACGCCACCGGTCATTATTTAAACGCCGGATTTTTATTGGCAGCACGCGTACGTACGCGCGCGCGCGTGCGTGCGCGCCTGCGCGTGTGTTTGACGCGTGTCCGCGGGGCAGCGGTGGCGCAGAGTCTGGCGCGCTGCGCTACGAAACCCGGCGACCCGAATTCGATTCCCGCTCGCGGCCATCGGCGGTGACGATTTTCTGAACGGGTCCTGGGGCCTCTCCCCTCTCTTAGGTCAACTCAGGAAAACGTGGCCGGGCGTGGTGCTAGCCACCCACCCCCTCGTGTGCCGTGCCGGCATTCGTAGGTGATGCTCGCTAGCAGCGCTTGCCCCGACAGTGTGTTGAGGCTACACGGGGGATCTTTGTCTTTTTTGTGTATCTGTGCGGTGAGGGGAGCGGTGGTGCAGCGGTTAGCGCTAAGCTGCGCTATGAACCCGGCGATCCGGGTTCGATTCCCGCTCACGGCCAACACCGGTGACGATTATCTGAACCGGTCCCGGGCCTCCTCTAGGTCGACTCAGCCTCAAATGAGTACCTGGTGCGGTGTGTAAACATTGTGCCACTAGGGAGACAAAGGCGGTCGGGCGTGGTGTTGGCCATCCACCCCCTCGTGTGCCGTTCCAGCCTTCATAGGTGCTCGCTAACAGCACTTGCCCCAAAAGTACAGAGACCCATAGACTCACACAGAGACCCATAGACTCACACAGAGACCCATAGACTCACACAGAGACCCATAGACTCACACAGAGACCCATAGACTCACATAGAGACTCATAGACTCACACAGAGACTCATAGACTCACACAGAAACCCATAGACTACATAGAGACCCATAGACTCACACAGAGACCCATAGACTCACATAGAGACCCATAGACTCACACAGAGACTCATAGACTCACACAGAGACCCGTAGACTCACACAGAGACCCATAGACTCACACAGAGACCCATAGACTCACACAGAGACCCATAGACTCACACAGAGACCCGTAGACTCACACAGAGACCAGTAGACTCACATAGAGACCCGTAGACTCACACAGAAACCCATAGACTCACGCAGAGACCCATAGACTCGCATAGAGACCCGTAGACTCGCATAGAGACCCATAGACTCACACAGAGACCCGTAGACTACATAGAGACTCATAGACTCACATAGAGACCCATAGACTCACACAGAGACCCATAGACTACATAGAGACTCATAGACTCGTATAGAGACTGATAGACTCACATAGAGACCCGTAGACTCGCACAGAGACCCATAGACTCTTATAGAGACTCATAGACTCACATAGAGACCCGTAGACTCGCACAGAGACCCATAGACTACATAGAGACTCATAGACTACATAGAGACCCATAGACTCACATAGAAGACCCATAGACTCACATAGAGACCCATACACTCACATAGATACCCATTGACTCACATAGAGACCCATAGACTCACACAGACCCGTATACTCACATAAAAGACCCACAGACTCACATAGAAGACCCATAGACTCACATAAAAGACCCACAGACTCACATAGAAGACCCATAGACTCACACAGAGACCCACAGACTCGCATAGAAGACCCACAGACCGACGCACGCATGTAAGTCCAACGCACGTACTCAGCGGCCATCAGAACGCGGCGTGGACGCGCGGACAGTATTATTTGAGGCTATACGGGGGACCTTTGTCTTTGATGTGCGGTCGTGAAAATCTAAGCGCACTGCACCATGAACGTGGTGGGAGGGGTCCAATTCCCAGGCCACGGGGTGGGGAGGGATTAACTGAAACAGTCCCGGACCTCCCCTAGGTCGACTCAGCCTTAAATGAGTACCTGATGCGATGTGTAAAATCATCGCCACTGGGGATACCAAGACAGCAAGGCGTGGCGCTGCCGTTCTTGGCGTTAATCGGTGCTCGCTAAAGGCACTTTGCCTCCGAATAGTCGATTGGAGGCTACATGGGGGATTTTTGTATTTGGCGCGGCTGATGGATTCACGTAAATTTTTTGTTGGGAAATGATCGACGTTTTTATAATTTCCTCCGCTTCACAATTAAATTGCGATAGAGTACGTTAAAATGCTGCAACGTTAATAATTCCATCCGTTTGCCGTAGTTAATAATTGACTCTTAATCATTGTAAATCCCATTTATTTGAATAATTTACAAAAAACCATGTTTCAATATGTAGTCTTTTGGCTTAGAGCTACTACTTTCAACGGGGGGCTGAGAGTTAATCTTCCACGGGTACATTTTTCACGCTAATAATTTAAACTATTGCACTTTAAAACCTACCTTACATTCGCATTCGCGTTATTGATTAAATATTAATCACCTCCATGAATAAAATTGTCCCACGCTCAGAATCATCGGGAGGGGGCTCACGCGTTGGTTAAACGCGCGAGCAAATCGCCCGTCGATTTCGCGGGGAACGTTTTCCTACGCACGGACCGCGCACAACGCCCCTTCTACGAGGCCGTAGCGTCGACGACGAATTATCGTGGATTGTTTGGCCGTTTTAAATGTCCACGTGACGCCACTTGGCAGTGGACGTGTCGCTTTCGATGAAAATAAACGCAGGCTCAGCGAGGCATTCGCCTGGTAAAATGAAAACATTTCTAGATTTTAAGTTTTCGTGACTGCAAGGGTCCATACTCCTTGTTTTTTTTAGTAAAGTCACGTAGGTGAAAAAAATTAACCCGTAAAAAACAAAGTTTTTCACTCTAAATCCTTTATATGCGTGGCGGCTAAAGTCCTCTCGTCCTCTGGCTTGAGATGGCTGCCACCTATGGGTCAGATGATTGCCTGCCACCATTAAGCAATTGGTAATTAAATATAATTAATTTGTTCCTAAAAAGTGTAAAAAATTGTAATTTTTTTTCACGAAAATTAATTGTCACGCACAACGAGTCTGTGTGCAAAATGTCAGCTCGATTGGATCACGGCAAGTGGTGTTAAAAAACGACCGACAGATTTGCACGGTCGTAAGCGCGCAAGCAAGCACATCGAGCGAGCGAACTTAATATAAAGGATTTAAAAACATGTTCTTTAAGAGATTCCCGCTCACCGCCTCGCGTCGGCGGTTGTGGCACCGCCAGTTCGGCAAGCGGCGGCGGCGCCGGGGCGAGCAGGAGAGCGTTGAGGGCGTCCTCCAGGCGGTTGTGGTGGTCCATGAGCGCAGCGCGCGACTCCTCGCGGCTGAAGCCCATCTCCATGATGCGCAGCAGCGAGCGCTCGTCCACCTGGAGGGGGGCGGGGGGGGGGCAACGCGGGGGGTGAGGAACCAGCGCTAACACCGCAGCTAACAAACACCTACAGATCTGCCACCAACACCACCACCACCGCCGCCACCATCGCTAACACCACAGCTAAGACCACAGCCACCACCACCACCACAGCCAACACCACAGCCAACAAACACCTACAGATCTACCACCAACACCACCACCATCGCTAACACCACAGCCAACAAACACCTACAGCTCCGTCACCAACACCATCACCACCAACCACAAAATCGCCACCAACACCACCGCCAGCAACGCCACGACCGCCACCGCCGACACGACCGACAGCTTACAGCTCCATCACCAACACCACCACCAACACCTCCATCACCATCACCAACACCAACACCTCCGCCACCAGCAATACCACCAACACCGCTACCGACACCGCCACCACCACCACCACCATCACCAACATCTCCACCACCACCATCACCAACACCAACACCAACACCTCCTCCACCACCACCACCACCACCATCACCAACATCTCCACCACCACCATCACCAACACCATCACCAACACCTCCACCACCACCATCACCAACACCTCCACCATCAGCAATACCACCAACACCGCTACCGACACCGCCACCACCACCAACACCATCACCAACACCTCCACCATCACCATCACCAACACCTCCACCACCACCATCACCATCACCAACACCTCCACCACCACCAGCAAAACCACCAACACCGCTACCGACACCGCCACCACCACCAACACCATCACCAACACCTCCACCACCACCATCACCACCACCAACACCATCACCAACATCTCCACCACCACCAGCAATACCACCAACACCGCTACCGACACCGCCACCACCACGAACACCGCCACCAACACCGCCACCAACACCACCGCCGCCACATACACCAACATCACCACCACCCCCTACAGCTCCACCACCTATCACGCCACAACGCCACCACCGCCTACACAACGCCAGCGCCTACAGCTCCACATAACTACCACCCACAGTTCCACGACATGACCACAACCAACACACTACCACCACCCACAGTTCCAGAACCACCACCACCACCTAGAGCCCTACAAAGAAAAAGACAAAGATCCCCCGTATAGCCTTAACAGACTGTAGGGGCAAGTGCTGTTAGCGAGCACCTATGAAGGCCGGAACGGCGCACGGGAGGGGTTGGTGGGTGGCCAACACCACGCCCGACCGCCTTTGTCTCCCCAGTGGCGATGTTTACACACCGCACCAGGTACTCATTGTAGGCTGAGTCGACCTAGGGGAGGCCCAGGACCGGTTCAGATAATCGTCACCGGTGTTGGCCGTGAGCGGGAATCGAACTGCAGGTGAATCAACTTTCTTTTTTTTTTCTTCCCTGAGCTCTCAACAACTCCAACACTCTCTAAAACTCGAATAATCACTGAAACCTCCAAGGATAATTTATTAAAAATGAAAAAAAAACTCTACGCGCTTCCGAGATGTTGTCACGCTTGCCTTTGTTTTAAACACAGAGTTTAAATTTCAAACGACACCGGCGTATGATTCGTCATCAGAGGTCGCAAACGGGTTTTGATTCCTTACCCGTACCCGGCCGCACCAGGGTCGCAAACGGGTACCCGTACCCGGCCGGGTACGGGTAGGGTACGGGTATCGGGTACCTGATTGCGACCACTGGGATGAAGCCATGTTGCAGGCGCGGGTGGGTTGATTCTAGGAACTGGAATTGTGAGAAGAGACAAGACGTTGGGAAATGAGTGACAAACGGTGACTCACCAGTGACTCACGGCCTACCCGTACCCGTACCTGGCCGCACCAGGGTCGCAAACGGGTAACCGTACTCGTACCCGGCCGGGTATGGGTAGTCGGGTATCGGGTAGGGTACGGGTATCGGGTACCCGGTTGCGACCTCTGTTCGTCATCCCTTCTGTACGCGTCCGGGGTGTTTTCAAAGACCGACATCACGATTCGCATCATGGTTCGTTTCGGGACAAGGTCGTCATGTAGGCACGACACCGGCTAGACCCACAGCTGATGGCGCTGTGCGAACTCTCCAGCAACAGATCCGCTCCTTGATTAGAACAAGCCCCGTCGCTTCCCACACAGGCCACCCGCCCCCCAGCTAAGAGCAACCCTAGCCCTAGCGCTACACTGAGCACTACCCCTACCACTACCACTATCGCTACCCCTATCACTATCATTACCACTACCCCTATCACTACCCCTACCACTACCCCTATTACTACCCCTATCACTACCACTATCACTTCCCCTATCACCACCCCTATCACTACCACTATCACTACCCCTACCACTACCCCTACCACTACCCCTATCACTACCACTACCCCTATCACTACCCCCATCACTACCACTACCCCTATCACTACCCCTATCACTACCCCCAAGACTACCCCTACCACTACCACTACCCCTATCAATATCCCTGTCACAACCTCACCCACCAATTAACCACTACCGCCTGCCCAGCCGTCACCATAACTACACCGCCACCACCACCACAACGTTTAATAACAACCCTCATCACTCTCTGTACAATTGTTATAATTGCTGCGAATCTCCTTGGAACGCGGCGCTGCTAAAAATATATAAACACATCGAGACACGAGACGCGAGATTGGAAATCGTCGGGGCAAAAATTGCCAACATCGGTCGCCGCCTTCACTCCACAGCGGCGAATTCTCTCGACTGGCTCTGCCGTCGGGTGGCGGAGGGCTCTAGTGACACAAAAGGAGGCCGACGTCGCACCCCGCACGGACGCAGAGACGTCGGGAGTGAACTCGCGCCGGACGCAAACCAACGCGTTGATAATCGGAGGTGCAGTGCTGAGTCTATGGGTAGTGTTGAGTCTGTGGGTAGTGTTGAGTCTGTGGGTAGTGTTGAGTCTGTGGGTAGTGTTGAGTCTGTGGGTAGTGTTGGGTCTGTGGGTAGTGTTGAGTCTATGGGTAGTGTTGAGTCTATGGGCAGTGTTGAGTCTATGGGCAGTGTTGAGTCTGTGGGTAGTGTTGAGTCTGTGGGTAGTGTTGAGTCTGTGGGTAGTGTTGAGTCTGTGGGTAGTGTTGAGTCTATGGGCAGTGTTAGTCTATGGGCAGTGTTGAGTCTATGGGCAGTGTTGAGTCTATGGGCAGTGTTGAGTCTATGGGTAGTGTTGAGTCTGTGGGTAGTGTTGAGTCTATGGGCAGTGTTGAGTCTATGGGCAGTGTTGAGTCTATGGGCAGTGTTGAGTCTATGGGCAGTGTTGAGTCTATGGGTAGTGTTAGTCTATGGGCAGTGTTGAGTCTATGGGCAGTGTTGAGTCTATGGGCAGTGTTAGTCTATGGGCAGTGTTAGTCTATGGGCAGTGTTAGTCTATGGGCAGTGTTGAGTCTATGGGTAGTGTTGAGTCAATGGGCAGTGTTGAGTCTATGGGCAGTGTTGAGTCTATGGGCAGTGTTGAGTCTATGGGCAGTGTTGAGTCTATGGGCAGTGTTGAGTCTATGGGCAGTGTTGAGTCTATGGGCAGTGCTGAGTCTATGGGCAGTGTTGAGTCTATGGACAGTGTTGAGTCTATGGGCAGTGTTGAGTCTATGGGCAGTGTTGAGTCTATAGGCAGTGTTGAGTCTATGGGCAGTGTTGAGTCTATGGGCAGTGTTGAGTCTATGGGCAGTGTTGAGTCTATGGGCAGTGTTGAGTCTATGGGCAGTGTTGAGTCTATGGGTAGTGTTGAGTCTATGGGCAGTGTTGAGTCTATGGGTAGTGTTGAGTCTACGGGCAGTGTTGAGTCTATGGGCAGTGTTGAGTCTATGGGTAGTGTTGAGTCTATGGGCAGTGTTGAGTCTATGGGCAGTGTTGAGTCTATGGGCAGTGTTGAGTCTATGGGCAGTGTTGAGTCTATGGGTAGTGTTGAGTATATGGGCAGTGTTGAGTCTATGGGTAGTGTTGAGTCTATGGGCAGTGTTGAGTCTATGGGCAGTGTTGAGTCTATGGGCAGTGTTGAGTCTATGGGTAGTGTTGAGTCTATGGGCAGTGTTGAGTCTATGGGCAGTGTTGAGTCTATGGGTAGTGTTGAGTCTATGGGCAGTGTTGAGTCTATGGGTAGTGTTAGTCTATGGGCAGTGTTGAGTCTATGGGTAGTGTTGAGTCTATGGGCAGTGTTGAGTCTATGGGTAGTGTTGAGTCTATGGGCAGTGTTGAGTCTATGGGCAGTGTTGAGTCTATGGGCAGTGTTGAGTCTATGGGCAGTATGTTTGTTGAACTTCTTTCGCACCATACGTAGGCAACCGTGCTAATCGGAGCTGTAATCTGACCGTCAAACAAACCGACCGTGAATCGAATTTTGATTTCCAATCATTAAAAGAAGGCCTCTGCCTAATTTTGCCAATAGTTCATTCACTTATTTTAGAGCGTGGTAGGCGAGCGGTGGTGCAGCGGTTAGCGCACGCCACTACAAACGCTGAGTTTGAGTCACAGCCGCGGTATAGCCGGAGTCTTTGCTGGAGCTGTCTCTACAATCATTTCGATTCACGATGTTGGATGTACAAACGTGACAGCATTGACGGCGGGATAATCAGCCGATGTTAAGAGCGCCCAAGCACGGCAAACAATTACCGATCTCACATTTTTTCGCGCATCGGAGGAGCTCTCAAAGCCGCATATCTCAACGACACACTCGCGCAACCGCCGATAGAATCTCGTGAGAAATTGCGATCAGAAGGATAAAACGCACGTGTCTTTTTCTCGGGGATGAGTTTAACTAGCGGAGTAAAAAAAAATAAAAAATCGAATGTCAGGAAGATTAAGTGTCAAAAAATATAGATATAGATTTATATAAAACTACAGAGATTATTATCCCCAAAATTTTTTTTATCTTTTTTTTTTCATGGAGGGGGGGGGGGGGGGTCCGCTTTTAAAAATGCGCCAAGTGTTTGCAAGAAGGACGCTGCAGTTTCCAGTTCTACGCACGTCGCTGCC